ACATTTCATCTTTTTCATTTAGTTTCGTGGGGTGTTCACACCTGTCGAAACAAACCATACTAAAGAAAAGGTTTGATTGGTCTGCACCAAAGGTAGCACCATGAGACAGATGTGAGGAAGGCTACACATTTTGCCTTTTAATATCAGGCTGGGTTTTCTCTTATATAAGTTCCAGTGATGACCTTTCACCAAGGGAATGACTTTTGACCTTTGTATCAAAGATACATTAAACGGCTGGCAACCTTGGTTTTAACTGCAGAGAGAAAGGTCAGAGATGTTGCACTGAGATTTCATCTCTCGCTAATAACCTGACTAAAATACACTCATGGTGGTGATATAACAGTAGGAACACAGCAGAATGAATATTACTGTAAGTGTTCAACATGTTTTATTTGATATATATATATATTATATATATATCACTGCTGTCGAAACAAAACTTCATATCTCTTTTCAGTTTTTGACATAACTTGAAAATACCTATTGTCCTTTACTTTCTGTGTAAATTTCATGATGAATGGACCTTAAGAAATGGGCCTGACTGATTTGGAAAAAAGTCTGGTTCCACTGACTTACATTAAAAGTAAAGTATGTTTTATCCTTCGCCTGTAAAGTTATGATTTTGGAGGTACAAGGTTTTGTTCCGAAAGCAGTGATATGTATGCATATATTTGAAGTTCAGTGTGAATTTAATGTCAATTCATATTGGACATGTACTGACATGTAGCACTGAAATATCAGTTCAGAATACAGAAAATAATAAGATTCCAGACAGTTTGCCAGAATATTGCTATCATATTGATGGCATCCTTCAGGCATGTTTCTGTATAAGAAAGTGAATGCCTCTGTTAGTTAAAAACTAGAAGAGAAATCATCACATCGAAGAGTAATAAATTGCCTTTTTTTGCCAAGAGCAAGATTTCCTCTTCATGTAATAAGTATTGGATGGAACAGTCTTTTAAGGACTTCTGATTTTAAGGGGTTTTTTTTTGTCCTTTTATTTCATTTTTCCATTTCATTAGGCCTCTACAGTTTGACAGTACCAGCGGTTTTGGATGGAGAAGGCTGGTCTGATGCCATGTTTTAGCATGTTTCAGCACTAAAACAGAACACAAATCATTCGGCTCTGCCTCATGAGCATCTACCTCTGCTGATCCAATCTCTTAGCAACAACGGAAAGAGTCAGGCCTGTCATCAGTACCTCTCAATGAGAGCACAATCAGCTGCAGGGATGAAAGATTGGTGACACTGCTAAACAGTGCTTTCACCAAGCACAATGGTCATTCTCATCTGTCTTTCATTCTTCAGCCTTGTAAACTGATGCACAACCTTTAGGCTGCATACTATATTTTGAGATTAAAGTTATGAATACAGTTCTTCTGCACAGGTGGGGATGCATTAGATGTGAAATCCTGATATGCCTGAGTACATGGCTACATGATTGATCTCACGTAATCACAAAGGGATGCTATCAATTATTATGGGAGAGAAGCTCAAGGATAGATGACATTAATGTGTTTTTGCCGAACCTTCTTCAATGTATCTGCCTCATGAGTAAATGTCATGACATCTGTAAAAATGTAGTGAAACTAAGTAACATACTTCATGGCAGCTAGCAGTGCAAAAAAATGATTCCTGAAAAACCTTTCATATTGCTAAAGGAGTATTAAATGTGCGCTCTCCTTAACATAGACAAAAATCACCTTTGAGTGATGGTGGACCCTATTGTGCACTTTTGAGGATGTATTAGAGCAAATTTCTTTCTTCCCTAGAGCAAAAAGCCTGATAAATGGCCAGCTTGAAGAAGCAGCCTACCGCAGTCTGCAGAGTATTGATGTGATTTATACACATTGGCAGTTCAGTGAGTAAGGCGGGGTGTTGGTTAACACTGCTGACTTTGCATATCCTCAGTAAATGTGCATTATCACACATGTCTGTTTAGGCTGTTGCAAAATTCTGCAGCTGTAAGTGATCAAAACATTGCCCGGAAGAGTGATCCAGCCAGGTGAGCCTCACTTACCTTAGGGTCTTTCTCATAGTAGCGCTGCTGTGTTCTGATCCACCTGCCCACCAAGTGGTCCCGGACCGTGTTGGCAAGGGCGAAGTAGTAATCCCTCTTGGTGGCCACATTCCTGTCCTTCACCAGGGTAAAATGAAGATGGCGATTAAAGTTTGTCTTCAGATCAGAAACATTCTCAACACCAGCGAGTCCCCTCACTGAAATCTGTTTCCTCCTGTCATGGTCTGACAGTGGCTTGGACATGTTGCCTGAGATCTGAGTGTGCGTCCAATGTGGAGGAGCCAAAAGTGGAAACACTGAGCTGCTCGCAGTTCACTGTCACCGCAGCGCCGCCTCTGTGGCCCCAGTTGTGCAGCTTTAAACCTGGCTGCATTAATATTCATTAAGGGATGGACTGGGACAGACCACTTATGGGATTCTGTTGAATCGAAGTGCATGATGATGCATTTGGACCATTATGAAAAATACACATATGCACGTATACCGTACGGTGCAAAAGTCAGAGACCACCTGACATTTATTTAATTTAAAGTCATACAGTCCATAAAGGGCAATGCAGAAAATATATATTTGATAGAAAATTACACAGACATCTCAAGTTTTTTTTTTTTTTGTATGTATCTATGCTTTGCCTTAATTACAGCTTCTATTCCTTTCAGGAGACTTGCTTTTAGGTTTTCTAAAAAACATGCAGGGATGTTTTTCCACGCCTGCTAAGTTCAGTCTTAGAAGTTAGATGCATTTTCTGCAGCAAGAGTGTAGCTTGATTTTCTTCTCTCTCTCAAAAATGAAAGTCTTAAGTGCTTTTTATCTGATGGTGACAGTTCTTGTAGTCTACCAGGTCACGCATCGTTCCCATTTTCCCTGCATCATTCAACAATTTTTTGAACTCCAATTTTGGACTCATGTTGCTTTCCTTTCACTTTCTCCTTCTTTATGCAAGTGGATTATTTTACACCTAACCTCCTCAGGAATAGCTCCTAAAAAATAAAAAAAACTGTCTGCCATTTTGACTGGAAATGTATTAATTGAAGGGTGGTCTCTGACTTTTGTAAACACACATTTCCCCATTGTGGAATCCACTCAAAAGTTTCCACAATGTCAGCATTTTCTTACAATCTAAAACACAATTTCTTATGATCACAAACACAAATTCCCAACCAGAACAACTCAAACTACAACCCCCAACAGCACACGGTTGCTTGACTGACTTGGAAGACACTCCAAACCAGGAGAAGCGCTAGAGTGTAAAACTTTCAAGTAGGCTGAGACATTAATAGCTACTCTGACCCGTCCCAAAGGCCGTGATATTTCAAAGGCATGCCTCGTGAATGTCAGCAGCTAGCAGTCTTACGCCTACTGCTGGAAAACCTGCTATCTGCACACAGTGTAATCACTGCAGCCAATCTGACACCTCAGATGGAACTTCACTTTTTCCATATCTACTTTTCTCTGTTCTTGTCTCTGAAAAGACATAGAAGCAGCAATAAAGAAACATGACAGTAATAATGCATGTGTTTATTTTTCTTCTATGTGGGTTTAGGATGTTTACGGGCAGTGATGGCACATGAACTGTGACTTCTGAACCATGAAAATATAAAGACATTGTGGACAAAACCAGGTTCACAAAAAATGCATTTTAAATAAAGATATCTTATCTTAAAACCTTTGCAACAAACTGCTTGTGCTATATCTATGTTGTAGAGCATATGGAATGTATACCTCACTGCTCTGTATTAGAGATAAACACATATCTTTTATATGTTGTATAGTTAAAGTTTATAGCCCTAAATGTCCCATTAAAACTTAGGAGTTTGCATTCTGAATGGAGAGAATTTCAGATTATTCATTTGAAAGGAAAATTAGTTTAAAGCTATCCCTATCCAGGAAATCAACCACAAGGGCCAATTTCCAGACTTCTAAGCCTGACCCTTAAAAGAGAAACGGATAGAGTAAATATATATATATATATATATATATATATATATATATATATATATATAGTACTGTGTAGTAATTGTAGGCATCTAAGCACGTATTACGTGCATAAATACTTACTTTTGCACAGTGTGATTATGTATAATACCATATTTCATATTCAATATTACATTATATATTGTGTTGTTAATAAGGTATTACGCTGTATGGCTTTTTTAAATTAGAACACTTGGAGGCCTAACTACTTTCACTAACTACTTGCATGCACGCTGCCCCTCATGCTGGTGGCGTTGTGCAAGCTTAGTACCTGCTGGGGTCTGCATGAAGTCCATTTTCACAAAAAGGCCACTAGAGGGGGCTAACTGAACCACAACAGACCAAGACCCATCAGTTACCCTCCAGTTTTCCACAGGACTCCTCTACTGCAGCCTGGCTAGTGGCTTACCTTGATTCATCTTAAGGTATCTGTCTGGTTTAACAGCCACAGAACATTTTTAAATGAGAATATAAAGTGCAGTGAAAAACAGAACTTGGACTCAAAAGTATCTCCACACCAGAAAAATGTGGGAAGAAGTAGAAACGGAGAGTTTTAACATGGTTTAACATTGCTTATTTGCTGTGGTGTGCTTTATTAGGATGTGAAACAAGAAAGCTAAGCTTGAAAACGCGCACATTGCTGAATTGCTGAAGCTGTTCTGTGTGAAAGAGCGGACTGTACTAGATACATTATAAACATTTAAAACCGATTACATAAATGTGCAATACATTGTTTTTTAACTAGCTTAATGCCCCTGGTTTGTTTAACTGATCTATATTGAACAATGTCAAAACAAAAGGTTCTTCAACGAAACATATACAACAGGTTTTCCATCATAAAGGAAAACCATTTAACTTAGCAAAGATCAAGCTAGTTAAATGAGTTGTCATGGTTCTCAATTACTGCTGCTTTTACTAAAGAACCCTTAAATAATCCTTTTTTAGGGGTGTTTGTTAATATTTTATGCTGGATACGACTATTTTGTACACAGTCAGTACACATGACCACAGTCTTATCTGATAACGTCAGTAAATGAGTGAGTGAACTTTTTGTAATGTGTATATTAGCAAAAAACCTGATTTGGGGATGTTCTGAAATTGTAAAACTTACAAATGCCCTTGCGTCTCAAAACAGCAGGGAGAACTCAGGTTATTTTGAGCACTTTCGGAACGTGAGAAAAAAGGCTGAAACCCTTCTGTTAATAACAGGAAATGCAATGACTGTCAATTTCACAATAGACAGGAAATGTAGTGCAAAATACAGCTGTACTCAGGGTGAACCTCAGCCCCTAATGAGCTTCAGTTTCAGTGGCTGTCAAGTACAAACAGTGCTCTCACAGCGAAGCTTTTCAGCTGTTGATTCTTCATTTTTTTAAAAATACAGCTATAATCGTTTTTCCACTATTGATGTCAGATTCTGCAGGTAAGTACACATCAAGCCTATTTGTCTCTCATTTGGATTATTATATTCCTGCCTATGTTATTATATGTTCCATAAAATGTCTTTACCTCTTTTCCCTTAACTGACAAAATGCTTTTAAATGATGGTGCTTACATTCATATCGAGGTATCAGTGCTTCTCTTTTATTTCTAATGTTTGCCTTGAATCCCATGGTTTTGCCATATAGTATTTGCAGAGTGACAAAGAGGGATCAAAGCGAGGCGTGGAGAATTGAGAGGGGGAAACGGGGGCAGAGGGAGCGAGGAGAGGAGGATGGCGAGCGTTTCATCGGATCAGTCAGCGAGCGTGGATGAACTGGTGGAGGCCTGCATCAAAGCCTTTGGTCAGTAGTCTCGCTCGCTCCCATGTAAGCTCATTGATCAAGCAGCTCAACTGCTCTGCTGCCCAGTTCTCTCTCTTTCTGTCTCTCTCTCTCTCTTTCTTTCTCTCTCTTTATCTCTCATTTCACTTTCTCTCACTCTCTCTTTCTTTCTTTATGGCAGGGATCCCCCTTGATTTCTGTGACTGTGAATGTGGTTTTTGTTTTGTAACCGTTCTCTTGCCTTTCAAGCCTCTGTCTTGTCGCTGGAACAGGAACTGGCCAGTTTGAAGTGTGGCTGGCAGAGCAGTTTTAACCGAAACTCATTTACATCAAGAAACAGTCAAGTGACAGGGTCAAACTCATGTTTCATTTTCTCCCTTTGTCTTTGTTTCTCATACTCTCTTTTTTCCTACACAGAACGTAATATAATTCGTACATATATTCAAATGTGTTCTGTTTATATATATATATATATATATATATATATATATATATATATATATGTACACACACCGATCAGGCATAACATTATGACCACCTCCTTGTTTCTACTCCAGCAGCACTGCTGTGTCTGATCCACTCGTACTAGCACAACACACACTAACACACTACCACCACGTCAGTGTTGCTGCAGTGCTGAGAATGATCTACCACCCAAATAGTACCTGCTCTGTGAGGGTCCATGGGGGTCCTGACCACTGAAGAACAGGGTAAAAGGGGGCTAACAAAGTATGCAGAGAAACAGATGGACTACAGTCTGTAATTGTAGAACTACAAAGTGCACCTATATAGTAAGTGGAGCTGATAAAATGGACAATGAGCATAGAAACAAGGAGGTGGTCATGTATATATATAAAATAATGTGAGACAACATATTGCAGTATATTGTTGGATTTTCCTGGATTTCCTTTATGGATCTCTCTTTCTGTCTCCTTCTCAGATGATGAAGGGGTGCTAAACGACCCCTCTCTGGTACGAATGTTTCTCATGATGCATCCGTGGTACCTTTCCTCCACTGACCTGGCCAAGAATCTCCTGCAGAAGTATCCTTCTTCAGCAAGTCCATGCTGTTCTATTTAATGTGCAGTCTCATACTCCATACATTCTGTTCCGTTATAAGTAACTTGATGTTTACTGCATAATTTACTGCCCCTAATGTCGACTTGGTCAGAGTGAATGTAGTTTATGTGCTGAGCTGTCACTGCTAGAGACGGTTGGCAGCATCATATGGTCACACAGGAAACAATATTCTACAACTTTTACTGAATTATGCCGATAAAATAAAGATTTGCCATAACAACATAACAGGTCTCAGGAGGAGAATTGCACTGCCACTCGCCAGTCTCAGATTTGTCATCTCATCAAGTAAGTTAAGGATCAGATTTGGTTGCAGCGTTGCTGGCAACTACAAGGACAAAGTAGGATTATACAGCAATGTACAAGTCTTAGGCAGTTTGAGAAAGTGATACATGAAGCTTTTTGTCAGAGCAGTAAGCATTTATTTGTTCAAAAAGCACGAACATTATAGTACATACAAAAAAACAAAACAAATAAACAACAAATTGAAATGTCTGTCTGTCTATTTCTAAACCTTTCCTCAAGGAAGCCCAGTATTTACATTTACCATCTTCCAGTATTTACAGAATGCAGTTCTTCTAACTTTATTCTTCCATCCAAGATATCAAGGTTTTGTGAATCATTTCTTTAAAAAAGGGTTCTCTTGTTCTTTTTTTTAATGATGTATAGAATTTTTGTACTGTATTGTTGCTACAAGTGGAAACATACAGTTGAGATACATGATTTTAAACAAGTTTCATGGTAGCCTATAACTTTTGCACAGAACTGAATGTCATTGCTGTGAAAACAAAACCTCTTGTCTTAGAAGTAGTAGTTTTGTCTGAGAAGCAGTTTAAAATACATTATATAATTTAAAGAGATTTGAATATATAAATATGTCACCCAAGTAATTCCAGACAGTTTCTCCATAAAGGCCAGTTAACACTTTTAAATAATATAGCAATAAATAAATGAAATAGAAAAAAAATTGACTTGTGAGGTTTTCCATATGATAACGATGCTGTTTTGACATATTACCTGTAAATAAGCCTTATGCCGGGAGGAGGTTGAATTTGACCCCAATATACAGTCACAGCTCATGGAAGATGGCTGAAGTGAGACAGCCCGAAGCGCTCATTCTTTTCCTGTTGCATCCAGACCTATTTCATGCATTGCTAGGCTCCACACTCTCTCTCCCCCTGCTGCAGGTACTGGGTGGGCGAGTTCCCAGCCGAGTTTGACCTGAACCCGGAGCTGGCTGAGCAGATCCGCTGCCTGAAAGAGCTGCTGGAGCAGAACGGGGACGTGAGGCGCAGTCTCCTCATAGACATAGACAGCGTGTGAGTCAAGGAGAGCACGGTGCAGTCACACAAACACAGCCATCCGCTCCATTTACCATCCTCTCTCTGATACACTGAGACACTGAGCACGGAGACATAGTCCCAACATAAAGAGCATATCATAATCGCTGTGTGTTCCTCAGATCAAGGCTGCTACTTTTGCCTCACAGCTACATTTTCTCTGTATGTTCTTGTGGCTTCGCATGTCACTAGCTGTTAGGTATGACAGCAGATCGTAACGCTTTAATGTAATTTCAGTATTCACTATTGGACACATATGCTTGTCATAGTAATCAATTTTGTTATTTCATGTACACTAATAATACAATAATAATTTATACCATACCATGTGTTTGTTATATACCATAGCAGTCATTTCATTTATTTAATTTCCTATAAGTAAATTGATAAATCAGCCTTTAAGTTCAAGTCATTCAGCATCAGGAAAAAAGCAGAAAACAGAAAATTGCACAGGAGCAACGCCAACCAAATATAATCAATTTTTTTGCAGTATTTAGTGTTTCTGCCTTTTATCTGCACTACAGCTTCCATTCTTTTTGGGAGACTTGCTTTCAGTTTTCAAAGAAATCTACAGGGATATTTTTCCAGACCTCCAAAGTTCAAAGTCTTAGAAGTTTGTTTCTCATGATACAAGCAATCCCAATTACAAATTTAGATTTATGAGTCCATAAAACATTACTCCACATCTCAGATGTCTAGTTTCGGTGTTCTAGTGCAAATTGTCTTGACAGCTACACATCCTTTCAGACCCATAGTGTTGAGTTCTTCTCACAGTGGAAGGATGAACAGAAATATCTGTGGATTTTTCAGATCTAGGAGTGGAGCTTGATTTTCTCCTCTCTCTCAAAGATGAAAGCTTTAAACACTGTTTATTTGCTGGTGACAGTTTTGGTGGTCCTGTTCACTTACTTTCCTTAGACTTTCACCTTCCTTATGCAACCACCTCAGAGAACATTGTAGATGCACATCAGAAAGAAATGCTTAGGTGTGTTTGGGTTGTTGCTTGTGTGAATGTTAGTGTCTGTTTGAAGGGTGAGCATAATGTCAGTGAGAGCTTTGGAACAGCTTTTTTTGGGAGGACACAGCTAAGATTGGAAGAATAGAAGAGTTAAAGTGGTAGTAGAGCACATGAAAGTAAAGAATGAACAAATTAAATACTAACAGATTTTATGTTATACCTAGTGTTGAAGGTTTTTGTGTAATGTTCTGCTCCTGTTAATGGTCATTTTGACTGGAAATGAAATAAACCAAAGGGTGGTCCCTGACTTTTGCATAGTACTATATGTACTATACCTGTATTTTAGAAACAAGAACAAGTTAGTACAAGATAAAAAATATTGCACTTATCTGTTAATTCTGGACACATCTAAAATTTCTTTTTAGTTTGTTTTTCAGCTTTCAGAAATATTTCAAATTTCTTTGGGTACAGGACTTAGAATGATTATATACATTTAACTGTGACTAAATAGTTTTGATTTAGGTTGGTAATGTAGCACCATAATATGCTAGCTTTTTTGTATTTGGTACATACTTTGGAAATGTTTTAATTAAACACAAAATGATGATTAAGCATGCATCATCCACTGTCTAGTCCGTCATATGAATGGAAACGGCAGCTGACATCAACCGTCCAGAAGAAGAGTAAAACATCTCTGCTGTTTGACCACCTGGATGCCTCTACCCTGGCAGAGCACCTCACTTACATGGAGTACAAGTCCTTCTGCAAGATCCTGGTGAGGCTCCAGCTCAAATTGCCAAAGTGTAGGGGTATTTAGACCAGATTAGGGCTCAGTCAAACTCAGGGTGGGTATCAGGGATGTTGACTTGGTACAGGAGGGCTGAGGTTGCTGTAGACACTGATCATCAAAAATCAATATTAAACAGTTTTCTCTTTTAGCTAAAACGGTGCTGGTCACCTAAGGTGTGTTTGGTGTCCAAAGATTTTTTTTTTAGGCTTCTATAGCTATCAAGTAATGGAAGCAAATATCCTACCAAAGACTGTATCCCTAAATCATCACACAATTGTACATTTGTTGTACACACAATTGTACAGATAGTTATTGATAAAACATAAATACATAAAATATATGTATATATTAATATTTATGTATGTATGTATATCTCTGTTTTTAAACATGCTGCAAAAAGGATTACTTTCAGTATGAGGCATATATACTGAATGTGTAACCAAAACTCTCATACCTCTAGTTCCAGGACTACCACAGTTTTGTAATGCATGGCGGCACTGTGGATAACCCCATCCTGGAGCGCTTCATCACCCTCTTTAACAGCGTGTCCCAGTGGATTCAGGTGATGGTGCTCAGTAAGCCTACAGCCCAGCAGAGAGCTACCGTCATTACCGACTTTATCACAGTGGCCCAGGTCAGTCTGCCCTCAGACTAAAACTCCTTTCCTTTCTCCAGGAAGCTCTGCACTCAGCTGAGGCAGATGGGTATTTTCTACACATATTGGCCAATTTGTGGCTTGTGCCTTTATTTATATCTATAATTTGTACTCTGTTTACACATGTCATACTGTTCTGCCATAGCATTCTGGATGTAGATATGCTTCCTGTTTTGTCTGAGTGTGTGTGTGGGTTGGGTTTGTTTTTGTGTGTTTAGAAGTTGCTGGAGCTGCAGAACTTCAACACGCTGATGGCAGTGGTAGGGGGTCTGAGTAACAGCTCCATCTCCAGACTCAAAGACACACAGGCTCTTGTTGGAAGCGATTCACGAAAGGTAAAGACTGTCACTTCACTGCTTTACAAAACCACTTCTGATACAAACATGCAGAGCAGACTTTTCTCCCACCGTGTCTGTATTTGGCACATGGAAGTGGCAGTAGATGGATGTAAATCCATTACAGACCCTGTTGGGGGCATAATTTGCAATCTGTTGCAATGCGAAATCAATTTATAGGTGACGCAAAGGGAAGAAAGTACATGGTCCTGCTATATTCAGTGACTGTTACTGTTTTTGCACTGTGTGCTGTCTCCTAAAACAGCATCAGTGTCACAGAGGCAGAGGCAATGCCTCCCATGGCAAGCCCATTTAGGAGATATCACCTTATCTCCACTTTTCAACACAAAGAAAGCCGCTCTCCTACCTTTATACACAGGCTGTCCCACGTTGTCACGCCCTTGACAGCTTCTGTTGTGTCTTTCCAAACGGTGTACGCTTGCCTTACACTATCCTGAGTTCTAGAGCCGCCCATCTATGGACACAACACCACACTTGGAAGATTTTGCACTTTGGTGAACATTGAACCAGAATCAGAATCACTTTCTCTCGCCAAGTATGTTACACATACAAGGAATTTGTCTTGGTGAGTTCACACACGTACAACATGTAACATACTAAACAGACCAGACAAGCAAACAGACTGTTAACAAGTATTTAACTAAGGGAAAATTAAAATAAAAATATAATAAATAGAATAAAGAATAAAGAAAAACAAATAATACAGAGCCGTGGAGAGGACATGATTAAAGGTTGGCCTGCATTATTCTGACCAAAGTGATTTACCTTTGTTAGATTATGTAAATGCCTTGTTTTATTCAATCATCCAAAGAATATCTGTGATTGGTCGGCACACATTCAGTGATTTAGTGCTCATTAACATGTTGCAGACTTATGCAATGTACCAGTGTTTTTCGGGCTGATGTTGTGATATCAGCCTTGCTAGACATCTGACATTGGTTGCTGGTTTATCTCTGAGATCTCCCTTCTGTCTCTGCTTCTGTACTGTGCAAAAGTCAAAACAGACCACCCTTCATTTATCTAATTTGCAGTCTAAATGACCTTTAAGTACAAGTTATTCATTTTTCAGGAAATATTTCTGAGAAGAGAGAGGAGAAAATCAAGCTCCACTCCTGCTTCAGATCTATAGGTGTTTCTGTCCATCCTTCCAGACAGCTCAACACTATGATTGTGAAAGCATTTGTAGCTGTTAAGAAGCTGTGACTAAGAAATAGACAAAAAAGAAGAAAAAATGCACAAGAACACTAGACATCTGAGATGTAGAGTGAGGTTTTATGATGAATCTAAATTTGTCATTGGGTTTACTTAGACATGAAAAGCTAAAAATACAACCAACTGCTATGACTGAAGTTTGGAGGTGTGAAAAAATATCTCTTTCTTTAAAGACTGACAGCAAGTCAGCAAGTGTAGAAGCTGTAATAATTCTTCAAAATAATTCAAAACTTATACACACACACATATCTAGATATGTGAAGCTTCTGTGTAATGAAATCTTGAACTGTACTGTAGCTGATTTGACTGGAAATGAGATAAATGAAAGGGTGGTCTTGCACAGTACTGTATATTATATTATTGTATTACAAACCAACGTTGAATCCACAAAACTCTGTACCTAATTAGCACAATTGCTAATCCACCAGATTTATTTCTGACAGTCTTTTTCTGACTAGACATCTGCTTTGCTAGACCTCTTGCATTGGTGCCTGGTTTATCTCACATATCTCTGTGTGTCTGTCTGGGTATTTAATCTTTTTTATCATAATTCTGCTATCTGGTGAGGACAGAAAGAAAATAGGTTCTCCTTTTGAATCTTGGTTCCTCTCAGTGTTTCTTCCTCTTGTTCTTGTTGATTTTTTTCTACCATAGTTGCCCTCAGCTTGCTCATTAGGGGTCTCAACACAGAGTTTTGTAAAGTTGTGTTGTGACAACATTTTTTTGGGAAAAAATGCAATTTAAATAAAATTGAATTGATTTGAATTGAATTGCATTATCAGCTGTTCGACGGGCTGGTGGAGCTGGTCACATCATGTGGGAACTACAGCCGCTACCGCCAGCGCTTCTCCGAGTGCACAGGCTTCCGTTTCCCCATCCTGGGCGTGCACCTGAAGGACCTGATAGCCGTCCATGTGGCCCTGCCAGACTGGGCCGACCCAGAGAAGAGCCGGGTCAACCTGACCAAGACCCAGCAGCTGTACACCATCCTGCAGGAGCTGGCGCTGATCCAGAGCACGCCTCCCAACATTGATGCCAACCCAGACCTCCTCAATCTGCTCATCGTGAGTCCGGGGCCAAACGGGTGGGGAAGCTTGGTGGGCAGTTCTCGAGGGACCAGGTTCACCGGCTTGGCTCAGTTTCACAAGGATTGAGACATAGAAGCTTTTGTCGGTTATCAAGTGTGGGCATTTTATCTAATACTGATATTTGAACATTCACTTTTGTGTATTGGTAGAGAATATTCCAATGACAAAATATTTTATGTAGTTGAATAGAACATTAAAACACAGACAGCTTCCTGTTCCTCTGTTGCGTGCAGCTAGCATAAGATTACCTGATCATTGAATTGTCTGTTGACACTTATTCATAATCAGCGTCCTCAACTTTGTCGTCAGCTCTAGTGAATTTAAAGCATTTGTGTTTGAATGGTCGTAGGTGTCTCTGGACCAGTTTCACACAGAAGAAGAGATCTATCAGCTCTCCCTGCAAAGAGAACCTCGCAGCCTGAGATTATCCGTGAGTCCCTCCCACTGACATCAGCTTAAAGCACCAATCAAAGATGAGCGACAGAAACCGGTCTCCAATTACAGCCACTTATCACACAATTTGACAGATTAATGTACTGATTTTGATTGCATAATCCACTTACATGGACTTGCAGCTGGGAACTTGCACTACTACCCTGTAATTACACTTTTCAATCTTTGAGCAGCAGTCATTTTCACAAATCCATCAGTGCCGTGTTTTCTTTTTGCCATATTGACTGCTTCATTGTTTTTGGGGGCTTATTAGTCATCCAGCTCGAAGCCCCAGTCCCCTCTAATAGAGCAGTGGGCGTCTTCAGTCAAACCCAAGGCTGATCCAGTCATCATCAACAAGCACATTGAGAAGATGGTGGAGGCAGGTTACGCACACATGACTTATTCATTAAGATTTGGCTTTTAAAAAGGAGTAAGTACATCCTGTGTAACACCTGTCACTCTACTGTGTTTCAGTCTGTTTTTAAAAATTTTGACACGGATGGCGATGGCTCCATTTCCCAAAGAGAGTTTGAGACCATCCGGAACAACTTCCCCTACCTTACCAAGTTTGACGACCTTGACCAAAACCAGTGAGTTTCATTCTGATGGTTTCACAACTGCTGCAAATTTGTCAGCTCATCCACTCATTTAATACTGGGAGATAGAAGGTCTATACTGGCTGCTTTAGATCGTTTTGAAAGAACAGTTTAAAATAAAAAGAAACTAAATAAACAATAATTTTACTTCCTGGAAATCTGCTTACTGTGTGGATAACATAAACAATAGTCTAATCCTTCTTTTGGTGCACTTTTAAGAAAACATAGCAAAACAGTCCAGTCAAAACAAAGTTTTGTAAGACATTCTTTTACCATAGAGTAGCAGTACACCAGAACTTGATTATTGCAATATCATATGATACTGGGATGCACAGTCATATGCAAAAGTTTAAATGACATATTTTGTTGATTTTCCAAGTGAAAATAAGAGAAAAACACATCCTACAGGGAATAAACCTGTTGGAAAATAAAAATGTGCTATAATATAAATATAATATAAATATAAATGTACTATAACTTTTGCACAGGCCACATTTTATTTTATTTTTTTCTTCAATACATTCAGTTCTACAGATAAACAGTAATTGTGCCATTAAAATGTACTGAAGTGTGTACTCTTTATAGGATATTTACTTGTTTTTACTTAGAAAATCAACAAAAGTAAATTCTGTTCAGTTTCTCTTTTTCTCTGTTTCACCCAAAGGGATGGCAGAATTAGCCGAGAGGAGATGATACAGTACTTCACTAAAGCCAGCTCCTTGCTGAACTGTAAGATGGGCTTTGTTCACACATTTACAGCCATGAACTCCTTCAAGCCTACGGTCTGCCAGCACTGCTCAGGCATTGTGAGTATGCGCAGACACCCATAGAGAAGTGTGAAATACTCTGTCTTGTCTGTCAGCAATTAATTTTTCATGCATTTAAGGCTATAACTGATGGAAATGACATATCTACAGCAATTTAACCACACAAATTCTAATAGCTTTGTCAATAATGTGTGATGTTGCCGTCTTGATCTGGCCAACTACAACAGTAGCCTTGCTATAGCTGTAGTTGCTTGTATGTTTTTTTTCTAACATTGCTTTATGAACAGGCAAAACCTTTTCATTCTCCCTGTTTGTGTCATGGCAAGGCTTCTCGTATCTTTAAAAAAGAAAAACAGTAGCTTTGAGGGTGGAACGTGGGCCTTAAAGGAGGATGTTATGTTCGGAGTTGGTGAAGGGTACAGGAGGGTGTGGACTCTTCACCACTTCCTATTCTCTCACTTCCTTGTAACGGCCACCCAAACCACACCTCAACCACTGCATATAACCCTAACTACTTCATAGGCAAAACTGTTTGTAGCTGAATATGTGAGTTTCGTGTTCATGTTTCAGTCTCATACAGCACTCAGAAGTAACTGACAGGCGTGCTGTAACACATTGACAATGTGCATTGTGGAGATGGGAAGAGGAGGGTAGAGCAGCCTAAATCAATACTCAAGTAAAAGTATTGATAGTTGGGTAAATTAATGCCACAAGTAAAACATCCTTCCCAAAAATCAACTTGAGTAGAAGAAAAGTAGCAGGTCAAAAAACACAGAGCTTAAGTGTAACTTTTAGAACTAGAGTGGAACTTCTTAGAACAGCCAACATCTATCAGCATAAGTACAGAAGGTTGTTAGGCTTTGTTCTTCTCTTTTTGGGATTCATTTGGTCTAAAATAAAATGATACAGCTCCAAAGTCAGAAATGTGACCAATTACAAAGTTGTAAAGATGCTGTCACCAACAAAACGTTATAAAATTAAACATATAAATGGGAATTGATAAATATTAATAGCAAAAATGTAACTGAGTAAAAAGTAGTGAGTATTTACTCACTAATATACTTGAGTAGAGGTATTATGATTTGAAAATACTTAGGAGAGTATAAATCCATCAGTATTTTACCTAAGTACATGTACTTAAGTGAATGAAACTGGTTACTACCCATTTCTGAAGATGGGCAAAATAAGCTGCATTGTAGTAATTATCCCATACAGGTGAGAGCAGAACACAAACTACTGTATGGTAAAATGTAACATGGATATTTTTTTATAGTTTAACAGGTTCAAGTAGAACATGCTTTTGTTCATGTTCTCGTATTACCATAGAAATGTAATCTGCTAATTTTGACAGCACTCTGACAGATATTTCTTCAGATTCACTCTCACTGTATTTGTAAAATAAAAATAAACTTTTTTCATCACAAATGATTTTCACAGCACCATTCTGAAGTGTAACTTTGTGTAACAACTAAGCCTCCCAAGGTAAACAAACAGAGGACTCAAGAAGTAAAACAGGCCATTTTTTGGAAGTTTTTATGCACATATTCGTCAAAACGTATCATATTTGTCATGTAAATGAAATATATTAAAGTTTTAGCGCGCTGATATTTGATGCTCAACTTTGGTGAAAATTAATTTTTGATGCAGTCTCTTTTTACCTATCATATTCATTTGATTTCATTTTTATGTGTTTAGGTTGGATAGCTCATCCAGTTTGCATCAATTTACCAGACTTTTTAGTGACTCTTACAACTAACCCCTTCATCTGTTACAATTGAATCTGCCTTTGCTATTAATTGTAACATTTGCACTCACTCTGCTTACCACTAAAGTGTTTACAAATGGTAGTTGCTGGAAAGCAAATGTTATGCTTTATCAAATTTTTCAAATAACTTAGGTTGTGTCCCTGCTTTCCCCTAATGCAGTTGCATTGTTTGGCCACCAGTGGTTGCGGTCAACTTAACCCACACAAGCATGTTCAATATGTGGCACATGGTGTCCAAAAGTTTGTAGACAACTCTTTTAAATAGTGAATTCAGTTTCTTTAAGGTGTGCCTATTGTTGACATTCAACTGCAAACAGACAGCTTGTATGATCTCCATAGAAGACCATTGCCAGTAGATTGGGATTCTCTGGATCAGCCGTGCCTGAGCCTAAGGTCACCATGTCCAGTTCCCAGCATTGGGCTGTTGGGCACTGGAACTGTGTTCTCTGGAGTGATGGAGCCCTATCCAGAACCTTTAGGATGAGTTGAAGTGGCATTTGTGATCCAGAACCGATCATCCAACATTAGTAAATGACTTCATTAATGCTCTTGTGACTGAGTGCTATCCAATTCTCACAGCAATGCTTTTAAATGTAGCACCTAAAGTCTTCCTAGAGGCTTTTACTGCAACAAAGGATGATAAACTCCCTTTTAATGCCCTTGATTTCAGAAGAAACATTGAATAATCAGATGGTCATTGAATGGTCATTTTTCTTCATGTATTTTTTTACTGTGAAACTACTGAAATGTGAGCCTCAGTATCATGAATTGAATCGTGAGTTGAATCTATCGTTACATGCTTAGTAACTGACCTAATATGTGCTGTTCCTTTTAGATGTGGGGATTTTACAAGCAAAGATACAAATGCAAAGGTATTCATTTTATTGTTTAAGAAACTGTTTACAGTAAATGATGATTTTAATTGCAGTTACAGTATACAGAGCAGTTTAAATGCCTATTTCTCACCTCCACCTTTCTCGCTCTCTTTCTCTGTGTTAGTGTGTGGAGTTAGCTGTCATAAAGACTGCTGCAGTCGTTTGGCCATTGAGTGTCGTAAACGGGCAAAAAGTGTCAGCCTTGACAGCCCCATTCCACAGTTCAGCCGTTCTCTCAGTTTTCCTCCTCCCACTAGAAAATACACCAGCCCTGAGTGCACAGGTACAACACACACGCACCCTGCCCAAGTGGACGGGTAGATATTAGTCTCTGAATGAGGGACAGTGAGGGTAGATTGAAGTACCGGTGTTGCATTTTCAATAGCATTAGTGATACATGATCTAAAAGTGCTGCAGTGATACTGTTCAGTATTGCACAGACCCTGAATTTCTAAATTAAAGTCTTTTCCTCCCCCTTTCCTCAGCTATCATCGAAGAACCTAAGGAGAGCGTAGAAGATGATGTGTTTGATGAACGCCTCTGATGTGGTAAGTAAGCATGAATACTGGGAAAAAGGGGGGGGGGTGAGGCTCCATAGTCTCTATGGTTTTCTATTCGCATTCCTAGTACTGACCAGTATTGACAAAAATTGTGTATTACATTGTGTATACATGAATTCATGTAATATTCTAAACTTGATGCTTGCAGCATGTTCTAAAGAAGTTAGGATGGGAGCATGTTTAACACTGTGTAATATCGCCTTTCCTTTTAACAACACTCAACAACCATCTGGTGACTGAAGACACTAATGGATCTAGTTTGAAACCAGAATTTTTCAGCTATGCAACCGTACAGGGCCTTCATTGTCGTATTTTCATCAACTGCGACCCCAGCTGGATCAAGTGGGTTAAGAAGAAGATAATGTGCCACACGTTTTCAACGGGAGACAGGTCTGGACTGCAGGCAAGCCAAGCTAGCAGCTGCACCTACGCAGCCATTCTGTTGTAAAACTGACAGACTGTGGATGGCATTGTCATGTTGAAATAAGCATGGACGTCCCTATAAACAATGTCATCTGGAAGCATAGGTAGCAAATATTGCTCCAAAATGTGTATATATCTTTCAAAATTTGTGGTGCTTTCACAAATGTGCAAGTTGCCCATGCCATGGCACTAATATTATTTATAATATTCATTTGTGGTTTTTGGCCTTGACGTTTACGCACAAAAATTTCTCCGGATTCCCTGAATACACATCCCAGAAACCTAAAATTCTTGCAGTTGTTTTTTGAGGAATGTTGTTCTTAAACTGTTAGACGATTCTCTGATGCAATGTTTGGCACAATGGCAGGCCTCAACCCATCCTTGCTCATAGAGGACTAGTTCTTTCCTGGATGCTACTTTTACAGCCATGCATGATTGTATCATCTAAGAAGGTTTTTGAACATTTTACAGCGTTCCTAGTCTTAAATTGCCCCTGTCTCAACTTTTTTGGAATGTGTTGCAGGCATCAATTTCAGAATGAGCATACCTTTTGAAAACCAATGAAGTACATAACAAAAAACATTAAATATCTTCTCTTTCTATATTTATTTGTACTTCACGTATTATCAAAACATTTTTTGTAATTGAGGTTTGTATTTATATAGTTTTGATGTATTTATTTCTGTTATTTGGGAATAATCTGAAGCTGCCAGCAAATCACATACTGCATTTTTGTTACCTATCAATAACGGTATTCTGGTACAGACAATATATCACCTGGCTTTACACATTCCTACGATATGTACAGTCATTCATTACATTCATGCAGTGGGTTTAGGGATTTGAAGAATGACTTCTTTTTATTTCCATAGGAACACAGTCTGCCTGTTACTCTGCAAAGTCTACAAACAACATTTCACTGACGGACCCTCATTGATTCCCAAAAGTGTGTGCGTCTTTGAAGCTGAGATGTGATCCACACTTTGGATCCTTCCCATGGTGAATATCGCAGCTCTTCTAGAAAGAAGTGCATAAAGAAAATCCTCACTACTTGAAAGGCTTGAATTGCCTAATATGTCGATTGGAATATAAAAATAACTGTTTTAGTGTTTTGATTTTGGGTGAAAAGTAATATATTTTTTTTAAGCTTAACAAATAATACCATTCCCATTGTGTTACACTGGATCAAAATGATTTCTATTGTAATGAGCAGACGATTTTCTCTCTTAAAGAAATGTAAATTTTATCCCCAACTGAATTCATATTATATACGATTTAAGCAGGGGATTTTAAGCCACAAGGTCACACGAATGACATTTCTTACAGGCATGGTGCCACGGTCATTTTGTGAATGCTCTTACATTGTTTGCCAGTAGGGGGAGGTGTTGGTACAGATTGATTTGTGTCTCTCCCATGTCTCTGTACATACTTTGGTATAATCATGATGTACATGTGAATTGCTGTGGTTTCTATGTCTCAATACATTTAGAAGTGTGTTAACAATAGGCTTTTGTCTTTGTTCTTTTGGCTGTCAAGTAGGAAAAGCTGTCAGATGCTGCATAATGCCTGTAAGCAGTGAATATATCTCCTCATTAAAGGCAAGATCAGTTATTTCCCTAAACGCTGCCATCACTCTCTCATTCGCTGCTGCTTGCAGGCGACCAAGATGCAAACAAAAGTACAAAAATGGTGAGAGCTAATCTACAAATGGAGCATTGCTTTCTCAATTTTTGGGCTGTTATTGGATAATGGTTCCCGTTTACTAAATTGGCCTGCGATCAGTATGTAATCTTGCAGGCTTTATATTTTAACTCAAAAACTTCAGTTACCTGCAGCCACTTCTCCCTGCTGAGATTTCTACGGTGATTTCTGAAAAAGCTTTAACACCAGAGTGAGAGCCTGTATATGGTGGGAGTGCAATCCGCCCTGCTGTTCACATAACTACAGGTCTCCGTACGACTCCGAAGGCGCCTTTGTGCACCGTTTTACTGCCTCTGGGCTTCTATTAGGGATGCCTTTCTGCTCCTGTATATGTTGCACGTGTTTCCTGTCATTCTTTTCTAAAGACTGTTTTTATAACCTCTTTGAGCAAGGGAATTATTTCCCATCTTCCATCATATCTCTTTGGACAAGCAAGCTGGTGCAATGCAACGGCACAAGGTACAATATCGATAATGTTTTCTATTTATGGAGGGCATAAAAGCAGAAAACGGATAAGTGAAACCTCGGGAGAGCGCATGGATGGTGTGTGCATGTCACAAGAGGCCTCAAGCCCTGCCGATAGTTCTTCCCGATAAGGAATCGCTCCATTATAATTAACCTTGTGAAAGACTGTGCGCTGCGTGTGTCGGGGATGAGCCTATTCTTTCTTTTCATAGCGAATGCGTGTTTAGGTATCAGTATGCTTGAGGGGGCCCATCTACCGCTTCATTTGAATAATCAACTCGTTAATTACAGAAGAGTGAAAGAGGCAGGCGTTATGGGCCATTTTACTAATGTGAGATGGGAAGGTGGCGGGCCACTAGGAAATGCAGTGGTGGCTGATAGCCCTCAGGGCCTTGGAGGATAGACCACAAAAGTCCAACGACACACACACAGACACACACACACACATACTCATGCAATCATACTTTATCAAGAACATCTCCTTGCTAGCAGCAGAGTGGAATTTACATTCATTGGTGGTTGCCCTGGGGGACTATTCAGTGCAGCTCTAAGCGTATGTGACTCAGACACACTTGTTAGGATACGCATGTGTAGATGAATGCCAGAGTGCTGAGTGGGCATATCTTAAGCGCATCCTAATATATGCATCAATCCATATAGTGCTATGGTTGCTCAAGAAAAATGCTCTTTTGTACGTTTGGTAGAGGTGCTGGTTAGAATAAGGCCACTAATGTAGTGTACCAGCTAACAATAAACAATCCTAAGAGCGCAGTACTGGTCAAGTGAACCAAGGATAGAGGCTAAACTTTTGTCTGGTTTCTCCAATGTGGTTTCAACTAATAACAAATTCAGCCACTTCTGGAAATTTTGACCTGTCTGAACACAATGTTCTGTAGGTCTGCGCTGGACATGGTGTGGGCTTCAAGAGTCAGTGGCCTTGGCTGAGGTTAGAGATGGAAATGTTTCTGTGGGGACTACCTACCTGCCAGAGAACACTGCTCAAGTGTGCTCCACTGCCATGTACCAATGCCATGCATATTTGTGTGTTTTCCCTGCTCTAATAGTGCATTCAGACAGTCCTCATAAACTCAAGAATTTTTGATTTTACTGCAAGGACGTTGTACCTAAATGGCTAACAAAGGAAAAAAACTACTGGTTGCAGACTCAGGCAGGCTTCTGTGTGTGTGTGTGTACAGTATTATGCAAAAGTCAGAGACCAACCTTTATTTCTTTAACTTTGAATCATAATAGCCATTAAGTACAAGTTATTCACTTTTCAGGAAATACTTAGATTAAATGTAAGATAATCCATTGCATAAGGAAGGAGAAAATCAAAAGAAGTTAAGTTAAAAAAAAAGAGTTTTCAAAACTGGAATTCAAAAAATTATTAAGTTATAGAGAAAAAGGGACTCGTAACAACTGTACAAGACTATTACCATGACACAAACAGCACCTAATGCTTTCTTCATTGAGAGAAAATAAATTAATCTTTCCACTGTGGGAAGACAACTCAACGCTATAATTATTTTTAATAATTATAATTATGATAAAATTATAATAATATTTATATAGACCACTCTAACAAATTGGTTCAAACTGCAGTCCCACAGTAAAAATAAATAAATAAACAAATAACAGTTAAGTGTTCAGACCTTATGTTGTGTTCCCAATGCATTAACTGAGATAGTAATAAGTAAAAATACACAAAATCATCGTTTATAGGTTACTTTGTACTGGAAGGTGGCTGTCCCAAACCCTAACCCCAAAATGTAAATATGTGTATCATATATATATATATATATATATATATATATATATATATATATATATATATATATATATATATAATTTATTTCAATGTTTTTAGGATCTTTTTGATTTCTTTTCAAGTGAAGTTGAACAATGTAGATTTATCATGAGTTTCATTTATAAATAAAACTTTATTCAAAACTTTATTCAAAACAGTGCTGTCCCACAACTACCAAAACACAAAACTCTGTTCAGAAACCCTTAATCTTACTCTTCCAGCACTGAAGGAGACGAGAAAAGCTGCTTCAGACACCCGCTGAAGCGGCTTCAAACAGAGGATACATGAGTGTGTGCTACCTAGGAAATCGTTTACATTTTTTAAAGTGACATCACTGAGAGGATGAACAAACATGGAGCAGTCCAACTATACTTTTAATTCTGTGTTTTGTTTGGGTTTATATATTCTGTGTTGTGTATTTTGTACTTAGTGTAAAATGCAATAAAACAAATAGAAAAGCACAAAAGTTCAAACAGCTGTTGGATACAGGAGTATTAGGGATGTGCTTTCAAGCGAGCAAGTGACTGGCTTAGTTCATCAATATTCTGCATCAAATTTAATGATGTTGAAAGGAGTCAGCTATCCCATTTCCCCAACTTCTACTCATTCTCTCCATTCCTCCTGCTCCTTTCCTCAATTCCTCCACATGCTTCAGGCTAAGGAAGCCAGGGGAACGACAGAAGCAGTAGTAAAATTTCTGGACACAGCCAAAGAGTTGTAGTCCATAGGCGGAGCCTTATTTTAGCCACCACACCCCTGCATTTTAGAGCAGGAAGTGAGACTGCATCCCTGTCCTTCATGGCCACATGGTGAGCAGGCAAGGTTTTAAAATAAACAAAGTCTGAAAATCAATGTGGAACATTAAAAAGTGTTACTTTTTTGTTTTAATGAATGACTTGAGTTGACGAGGTTGGAAGTTTCTGAGTTTGAGAGGTAAAACAGTAAATCGTGGAGAGTGGGCCTACTTCAGTACCATCGGCTTAGACTGTAACACCCAGGCCCAAATGAAAGCTTCACTGTTCCAAGTAGGATTTCTGCTGCTCTCAACTAAAACGCATAGCTTAGCAAGAAGCCTGACACAAACTCTGAATCCCCACTCACCACTTGCAGCCCTGAGCTTGCGCAAATTAAACAGAGCCGCCCCTTACAGAACAAAGTGGTAATCATTACAGCTCATAATCACTGGCGACGCTTGGCTTTTGATGGCGAGCTGCTTTGAAGACGAGGCTGCTGGATGGAAAGCGTCCAGTGTTTTCAGTCTGCCGGCCGGCCGGCCGAGCGCTGGCACGCGATCAATGCGGCTGACGCTCCACGCAGTGCTGTGCATGTGTAATGGCCGTGTGAGGGCCAGCGAAGAGCAGGCAAGGGCCAATAAACACACCGCCTCTGAGTGACAGCACTGGAGATTGGATCTCCTCACACCCTCTCTCCTCTTTCCCTCTCCCTCTGTCTCTCCTCTCCTCGAGCTTATCTATTCACACCACTTCACTGTTTTATATCCTAATCTCTACATTTTTATTTCTTCCTTTTTTCAACTCCCCTTGCTCACAACCCCCTCAGTCTCATCCTCATCTTCCCCGCTGTTCACTTTGCCTCGCTCTCCCCCGCCGTTCCCACGCCGGGCCCGAGTTAATGCCTTTGTTTATATCCTCCCCCCCGCACAAATTGAAAGCGTTCTGCTGGAGACAAATGCGGCCGATGGCCGTGAGACCTCGCGGCTGATTCGAGCCTTCCACTCAATTCAGGCCGCATTACCGGCCGTGATGGAGGTCGCCCGGTGCCGCAGATGGAGTGCCACGCCGTCATTTGTGTGTGTATCCATCCCGCATAGCGGGGGGTGCTTTAGTGGACTGACCGGAGGCCCCCACACATCCCAGATGCCAGAGGCATTCAGGAGGGCTACCTCACAGAGGGCGTTCAGCGCTTTGTCCTGTCCTCTCCATTAACCCAGGCAATTGAGTGGAATCCACTAGCTCGGAGTCCAGTCAGGTCCAATGGACTAGCAGGACACTGGAAAGTAATGAGAGAGTAATTAAATGAAGCTGAAGCTGGCGAGGGTTCAACCGAAAAGGGTTCTATTGGGTAAGCATAGCGGGTATGTTGATGTGGATGTGGGTGTGTGCACATCTGTTTGTTTTAGAATGTTTTAAAGACAAAAATGAAAAACCACAGATAAACATCAGTAACCTACCAGCAAATTGTCCTGACGAGGGAAAGCACATTTTTTACAAATCCTACCACACTCAATTTTTTTTACAGCCGAAGGGCAACATATTTTATTTTGGTTTTGGTTTAGGTTTAGATACAGTACTGTGCGAAAGTCAAAGATCAGCCCTTGTTTCTTTCCAGTCTATAAATTTAAATTATAAATATAATAAATATATAATATATATATATATATATATATATATATATATATATATATATATATATGTGTGTGTGTGATATGACTGTCATTTGTCAAACTGACATAAGATCTGATTGTCAGTCTCTACTGTCAGATTTTCTCCAAAGATCAGTCTTAGAAGTTGTATTTTTTTAAGTTGTATTTTCTGCTCTGAATGTATCTCAAATATATACAATGATGCTGAGGTTTGGAGGTTTGGGGTGGCCAGTCCATTCGTCTGAGAA